TGATTTCAGTAAGCTTCAGATCAAGCCTTAAGAGCAGACACTGCCTCAGCATGTGGATAACTTTAAGCTTGGGTTTAAGTGTTATGCCTCAGCGGGACTGAGAAGTTCATCAAGTTTTGCCCTAGTGAGTGGGTACCACTCTCTGAAGTGCCCATGTGAATGTAAGGGATCTTATTTAGAAATGTGGAGCCAAATTTCAGAAGGAAATAAAGTTGCTTTTTTTGTAACATTTTCATATTTTGCAATTGGGGTAATTGTAGATCCAGGTGGAACTGGACAGTGTGTAACTCCAAAGGGAATCCTTCCAAATTTATGTTTATGACTACTAGGGAACTAACATACTCTCTCTCTGAATTTAATCCTCTCTTCAGTTTTTTTCCCTCAGGAGAAAAATATTAAATTGTCAATTAAAACATAGTTTAATCTCAATTTTTTTTTGTCTTTCTTAGCAGAAGAAATAACTTGTGTCTTCCAAATAGTTTTGCAATAGGTGTAGTCATTTACTCTTTCATAGTCTGTTAAAATGCAGTACAGATTCTTGAAGTATTTTAAATGCTTAAATACTACTAACCTGATATAACATATCAGCACACAAACTTCACAGGGCTGATTAGAAACTTTTTAAGAAGAGATTTTTCAGTAAAAAAAAAAAAAAAAGAATTAATTGAAACCAAAACATCTTTAGAAATTATAGCAGTTTCTATTAAACTTAAGAGAGTCCAGAAGGACTTAGATCCAGAGAGAAGGGAAAGGAAAGGGAAGGGAAAGGGATACACCAAACAAATCAGGTCAGTTGTTTGAGATGAGAGAAATGCACATTCAAATGCTCTCCTTTGATGCTTCAGAAAATAACTTGACCCAGTGTATTTGCATCCAAAGTAACCACGTGTCTATCTCCTTCTCTTTCAGATTTTACAAAAAGTCTTGTTTTCATCTCAGTGCAAAAAAGGTTGGAAATCTTGGCATCTCAAAAAGGTTGAAAAAGTAATTTCCTACTCAGTTCAATTGAGAACTCTAAGATCCAGGTAAAATCAGGGTGAACAGGGGGTAGGCACTGCACTGGGATTTATGAAATGCCCGCAAGTAGCTTGCTTTTAACACACACCAGAGAATAGCATTCCTTGATAAGAGGTCCTAATCAGCCTTGTGCTTTTTTAAAAATTTGCTCAAAGGCTTCTGTTTTTAAAATGACCCTTCCACCTACTCTATTAATTATTAACTCCAGTATAAAACTGATTTTTCTATGGCCTCACCATGAAAGCTGCAGATTAGGAGCTAACCTTGTTTCAGACCGATGCATAAATTAAACAGCATGTGCTCCAAGTGCACATCATTTAAAAAATGCATTCTATAAAATGTCTCATACTGAGAGTTTACAATGCATGTAAGAGGACAATTTAAAGATGGACATGAAACACATTGCAGAGATTTTGTTTAAAAGAGATGCTAAAGATTTAGGGAACAGTATCCATTTTAAAACTATGCCTCTTGACTGCTGCAAGAATTTGAATACTACATGCCACAGTTTCCAACATCAACAGGTGCTTTTGGATACCTCACCTGGGGCACCTCAAGACGCTGATTTTTGGTAATTCTTTAACAAGGTGTCTCAGTTTTGGAAAGAAAAAGAGGTAAACAAAATCACAAGTGATCCCAAAAATACCTTGGCCTCAATTTCCTTATGGATACTGAAATTCAGTCAAAAATGTTTTTCACAAAAAAATTAACCACCACCAAAGTTTCACATGCAACTAAAACTCATTTGGTGAAAAGTTCCTCAGGTTCCAAACGGAATTTCTGAAACACGTTTCAGAAACAAAGAGAGGAAGGGGAAAAATCTCTGAGAAGTCAGGACATTTGGTTCTGTGGAGCAGGAAATGAGCTTGTTCTGCTTCAGTTTCTGCTGTGCTCCACTCAGTAGTTCTCATGTAAAAGCTCAGGACTTACAGTCTTGGAGAAACAATCTCAGCAGAACCAATAGAAGATTCTAACTAAAGAGGAAACATCAGCACACGGTAGAGCAGATGAGGGCTAAGAAAGGAAAAAAAATGACCCCTTTATAATATGGCCCAAGAGCTGACACATCCTAAAATTGACCTCTCTTCCTTCACTCCCTTGAAATCAAAATTCTTCTATGGGATAATGATTTCTTTTTTACACAACTCTTAATCAGTAACTTGCCCATACAATACTAACTCTTGTCTTTTAGTCTTCTGCAATTCCAAGACAATAACTTCCTATCCAAACTACGTGGTTTGGTTACATGATGCTCCAGTGTTCTTACGCTGTGGAGACTACAAAATTTAGTTTATATTAATGGCAGTCCAACAAAGACTCAGGATTAATACAATAATTTTAACTTCTGAAACTGAACATACCAAAAATGTGTTTTCAAGAGTGACTGTTTCATAAAATGATCCTTGAGGTTGATGGAAAACTTCTGCTCATTTTAATTGATTTTGTATCGGGCTTAAATGAGAGGTCTCCACTGTCATTCAACAGGTATAAGGAAAGAGCACAGTCTTTGAAAGTGTTGGAGCTGAAAACCTTTCTAAAATCAGGGAGTAACAGCATGGTTAGCACTGGGTTTGTGATATGCAATATTCATAAAGGGGATTATAATCCAAAAAAATAATAATATATTCCCATTGGAAAGCAATGAATAGAGTCATGCTGTGATGAAAAACATTATGGTCTGCTCAATGGCAGAAAATATTCATTTTCTGGTTAAAGAACAGATAACTGTCAAGGAAAACATGCATTAGGTAGAGTGAGCTAGTAAATTTACCCGTTAAAGAACGAGAGACCAAAGCACTGAATCTGCCATGCTAACGAGCAGTGGCACTGGGATATTGCTCCTCTGAGATGCTGCTGCCACCCATACTGAAAAGACAGTTCAGAGTAATCTCCTTCACAGGAACACCCTTGAGTTCCCCTCCTTTCCGTGACAACTCTGGGGCTGAAATGTGCCCTCCCCATTTCCCCACGGGGACAGTGCAGCTTAGGGATACAACTGATGGCACGAGAACACCCAGGAAAAAACAGCTTTAAACTTCACCAAACTCTGCCTGGAGAGGTACATTCCTCACACTGCCAGACTTTGTCCCACAACCAGAATATCCTGCTGTCTCATAGGCTGTGCTCCTCATGTTTCTGCCTCCACCTCATGGAAGTACAAATGCAAGGGAGCAGACATCTGTCAGCACAAACCTGCACCGTGAAGCAGATTTAGCACCACTGGCAGCATGAAATCCCGTGAGCAGAAAAAAATCAGAAGACAATCTCAAGAAGAAAAACTAGACCAAATCAGGCCTGACAAGATCCACACTGTATTTTACTTAAAAGCAAAGAGGAGATACAAAATAATGCAAATTAACATCGTGATTATTTCTTGAACTGCACCCCTGTAGAACTAAATGCAAGCTCTTTGTGTTTCTTGTCTTCCTTTCTGATCTGATCTTTAAAATGATGCACGGCGAAGGGAAGGTGGGAGTGGGTGCCTCTAAGCTGCCTCTAAGCTGCATCATGTGCTTTATGGAGACAAGCCAAGCAGCTACTTAGGCAACCATTAGGTCGGGAAACAATTGCTTCCATCATTCCCAACACGTGTGTCAACATAATTCCATGCTCTCTTTGTCATGCAAAAAGTCTTGGCAAAGTGACCGGATACACCCAGAAAGCAGGAGCAAACTAAGCTCATTATGTTAACCGGAGATCTCACAGCAACCTCCAGTGCCATAGAAGGAGACTTCCCATGTTTTGCAGTGTGGAAAAGGAAAATCACCGCACTGAAAAGGGCCCGAGCCAAGCCTGGCCTCAGAAGTGTATTGAGATTCACAATTGTGTTTCATTGAAGGGGATCCCTCATCTGACAAGTACAAGAGGCTGTGTCAGGCAGTGTGATAACAGGCACTGCAGAAGGTATTACACCTCTCATAACTACAGAGACTTCCCTCTCCTGTGTGCTTGCTGGAAACCTTCCAGCCATGCTAATATGGCTCTGCAAAGGGAACCTACTGCCAAAAGGGAATATCAGCTTCTCTAATTCTTTATTGTTGTCATTGGTAACTCTGGACTTTGTTTTCCTTTTAAAGGAAGATTCAATGCATTTTACAACCATTAAACATCTTTTCTTCTCTCCATCTATACTTGTAACTCTTACTAATAGCAAAAGGCTTGTGCTCATGGGAATGGCTGGCAGTACTACTCTAATGGCTTCTTTGCATGGTCAGGTACAGGAGTAAGGCCCCTCAGACTCTCTGAGAAATGCTGAATACATCTTTGGTGCTCTAGCAATCACAGAAGATGGTAAATATCCCAAAGCATAAGTATTTATTTATTTAAAGATAAGCAACTGGGATTTCCACTAACAGTTTTTGCCACGTCTTTCAATTTCAGATTCAGTGCAGTGAGAGCAAAGTCCTAATACTGCTGGATATTTGCAAGCCCTTTCAAACTGCTTTGCCTTAAAAAGGCATGGGTAACATACATTTTTCAACCCATTTTCCCTCTTGAATGCTTGCAAGTCCGATCGTGGGTTTAGTAATGCATTCAGCAAAGCACAGGTCCTCAGCAGTCCATGTTCACAAAGGCTAACAAGGGCTAAAAACGAGGATTGATGGGAATAGTTAAAGCTCCTCCATGTTGCTGACATCTCTAAAGAAAGCCAAGGATTTCTATTGATTGTTGTGTTTAAGCATGTATCAGTCACACTACTTGTTTTGTTCCTTAAGATGCCATATTTTTGGCAGATCCCATTACCACCCAAACACTCAAGAATCAAAGCCAGAGAGCACCATCCAAGTGGGCAAGTGTAGGAGAGCCCTTCCCCCAGCATTATCGCTGGAATGGGAATGAGCATCTGGTTCTCACTTTGTCTTCTCCCTGCTCCACCACTTTGGGCAAATTTACACTATATAGACTTCTGAAAATGTACATCAAATATTACAGAACTTTCATTAACAAGTCAAATAAAACAAGAGAGTAAAAAGTGAACATACCTGAATAAGAGAAACGTTGTGTAGACTAAGTCTGAAGAGGTAGTTCCTGCATGAACAAGCAGAAAAATTACAAACTATTAGGCTACCAAAGAAGGAAGGGAAAAGTTATTACAGCAAGTAATAGTTTTTGTCATTCATGTCTACAAAAAAAGTTCTTCCTGGACTACTCTCCACAGAATACAAAAACAGTTATACGCCTGTTCACTGAGTTGTACATCAGTATCTTAGTGAACCTGGTAACAAAGTTCTGAGCAGGTCCTGGTGTTAAATATTCCAGAATCCATAATGAAGAGCCACAATGAAATCCTGACCACAAAAGGCTGTTTGCAAACCCTCAACAGGCTTTAGTTGCAGTCCATATGGGCTGCAGTCATGTTTTTCACTGCATTCTGAGAAAGGTGGGATTGGACAGAAGCCAGCTGGAGCAAAGCTGACTCCTATAGTAGGCTCCCCCGAGCCTGTCCTTGGGGGCATTCCCATTGAGGACTTCATGGAACAGAAGAGGGCAAATACTTCTCAGTGGAATCTCTCTGCACAGAAAACCAGCAGGGAAATCAAGGCAGTGACTGCAGATATTCCCAATCCTCCTGTCATCGTCTCTTCACAGGCAAAGCGAGGGAATTCCTGACAGAAGTCACCGTAGCGTGAGATACCACACATCAGCTGAGCTCCTGTCACCTTCTTCTGAATGTTCATATCCCATCACGAATAGGAGGGAACAACATTTGCATAAACAACTATGGATGAGGCTTAATTAACAGGATTTATCTCACTTTTTCGCTTGCTAAGACAATGCAGTTACCAGGAATCAGCTGACATATTAAGCCATACGGACTGGATTCTGTGCTTGAGGCTTTTGGCCACATCTAACTTTGTATTTTTGCATCCCATCTGCCAGGAGGTCTAAAGAGCTGTGATCCTTTTCCAACATCCCTGTCACCACAATCTCCCAGAGAAGACACATTTCTATCATACAAGGTGAACTCTACCCTCTTTCTCTGAGAGGCTCTATTTAAATGGTAGAAAGTGCATTTTTAATTATATGCTTTCATCCGTTCTAGAGGTGCCAGTATTCAGACATTCCCCTACCTAGTGAAAATGCAAGTTCCAGTCTTAGGTCAGTAAAGTCAGAGAAACCAATAGAAAGCTCCTATAGTGATGAAAAGGACCTAAGGACTCTTCTGAAGAGCCTTGTTTAGGATCTGTATTCAGCAGCACACTCTGCCCAAGCAAACAAAGTAATTAAAAATTCGACATATGAGAGATTCATATTGGGTCACAATGACCACTGCAAGGCTTGAGCAATTTTTCCTCCTTCTGTTATCACTTGTATATCACCTAAGTCACGATAAAGTTGCCTGTGTACTTTGTTCCAGTTCTATAAATAAATCAAAAGGTCTCAAATGCTGCTGACTGTCAATAAAGGAAAGGAACAAGGATGATGGGGAGCCTGGGAAGTCAAATTCCTGGTATCAAATCTTCAGCTGATGTAGCTCTGACTTGCTCTGATTTGTACCATCCTATTCTGTACTGGGCTGGTTACCCACAGAAGAATGACACCGATTAGCAATATCTGAAGAAAATGTGTAAGTGACTATTATACCCCCTGTAAGTATGCAGACAAGCACACACACACACACACACAAAATATCTCCATCTTCTCTCCTAGTTCTATCAGTGAAGATCCAGCAGTTCTTTTGTACAGTCTGAAAACCTGTTCTGTCTCAAAGGGCTACATACTCTCCCAAATAATTTATTAACTCTTTAGCATCAGCATCAGACCTAAACATTAGATCTTGCAGGTGCATTCAGCAGACCAGAGGCACTAAGCATACACACAGCTAAAATTTCAAAATGGAAATAAATTCTTATCCAGTAATAGATCTGACAGCTCCATTAGAACACCACATAGCTACTCCCACCAAAATATTGATGCAACACCAGGACATGAGATATCACGGAAGAAGCCTACTCCTGGACAAGGCCTCCAATCTTACAATACCCTCAGGAGAAAGTTCTCATAACTAGGGACTTGAAGTTTCTATCCTGTTGTTAAGCATGCTATTTAAATGCATTGATTTTGGAAGTCTTATAATGCAGATTTCAGCTCCTTGTTCTAGTCTTGAAAAAACTGGACAGTTTGACTAAGTAATAAATTTTAATATTCAGGGTTTTTTTTCCTTGATGGCACTGCAGAGCAAATTCAACCAAAATATCTTTAATGAAAGAGACGTATCTAAGGGACACAATTTTCATTGCACTCAGCCAAAACAGATGCAGACAGGAATAGTGTCCATTTCAATAAAGCCAGTCTGTCCTCTCAGTGATTGCTGGGTGGCACCTGGACAAAGCCATTCAGGTGGCAGGAACATCGTACTAATGTGAACAGCACAACGATCTTCCGAAAGCTTTATACTAACCTTAGCTCTCCAAGTCTGACCTTGGGGCTTTCTTAGAGAAAGGAGTGTTTCCCTACATTTTTCATCATCTTGCCTCACATGGTGTCTGAACAGCTACTGGCAGTTTCTTTTTGTTTGTTTGATCTTTCTCACATCTTATCAGCAGCAATACAAACACCTGTAGGCAGATCAGGCTATCAGAGAAAGCTCACGACTCCAGTTGACATGCCCAGCTAGAACTGCCTAATCCTTAATTAATAACATGCTCGCCTAACTACACTTGTTCTGTAAAGCTATACCAGGAGTAAAAAGCCAAAGAGAAAGAGCTGCTGAATCAGACAGTGCCATTTTTATGAATTGCGTTTTAACAGCAATTTCAGTCCAAGAATGAGCAAGGTCTCTGAATGACAGGCATGGTTTATTGTACCTAGAATTGCCCCATTTGTGTCCTTTTCTTCTGCTTGTGTTTGAAGTTATGTCTGTTTAATACCTTGCTGAACTATAATTTAGAGCAACTGAAAGAGTATGATTAAGAAATATATGAGAACACTGAGATCTCTGCATAAATGGATGAGGTGCCTTCTTGATCTTTTTTTCTGCCTTTTTTTTTTCCAACCGTTTTGTCTTGCAAGTGAACGTTGGCTAATTCCTTTCACTTCGAAATTAAACCCATCTGGACTAGGCCAGAAAGCAATTGCCTGGTGCAACCAGCTATTCTAATATCCTCCTTCTTCTGCAGAAAAAGCTGGTGCACAAACTTGGAGGGATAGGACAACGTTCTTAATTTCTGTCCTAAAAGGTCACACAGCTTCACTCCACAGTATTAAACACAAGCTTTGTTTCATCCCAGTTGATTGCATTTCAGCCATCTCCAGAGCAAGTGACTACAATCCTCTGAGTACTCTGGGACAAACGGCATTATGCCTCAAGCTGCTAATTATTATTACTACTAACCTTATTATTCACGGACATTAGTGCACTCCCAAATAAGCCCATGTTAAACAGTAATAAAGTCTCAGCCAAGACAGTGGTTTTGTTGCATTAAGACACAGAGGAGGTTGATGGTGTTTCCTCTGGAGACTGATTCACAGTCGATGCCTGTTTAAACAACCTGAGGGCAGATCCTTTCTCTGCCACCTCTGATTGCAGAGGGATATTATTCCCCAGCTCAGATATATGAATTTAGCTGTTGTAAAGACCTTCAACCTAGTCTTGAAGAATTTGACATCTAAATATATACAAAAGAGTGAAAAAGCTACATCATTCTCATTTAAATTTAAAGCAAAGATTGAGCAATTCAGCCAACATCACAGAGCATATCTGCAGCACAATCAGGAGCTGATCTCCTGGTCCATTAATCTATGCCCTGGTTAGGAGAATAACTCACCCCAAAGCTGGGGCACAGCGTATAAACCTCTGCTGAAGTGTCATTTACACTCCTGGGTAGATATTGAATTACTTTCTTGAACTGGGCCCAGTATGGTCATGTCTATATGAACAAAGCCAAGCTGCAGCATAACTCCTGTAAATTAAAGTATTTGCTAATTGGCTTAGTAATTTGTATTTGGCTGCTCGTAAAATGATTAAGTGCTCACTGTGCCTGGTACCACATAGCATACGTACCAGAACAGCAGGAGAGCAGCTGAGATGTGTTTCAAGAAAGGGTGTGGAAGAATATATGCACTTAAATCTGCTTGCCATGACATTCCCAAGTCAAAGCTGCTTATTAAGTGTTTATTTCATGTAGCCAAGAGCACACTGGGTGACCTTTGTAACATGGTGCCTATGCACTTGTTCACACATTGCCTGGCCTTGAATCAATTTACAATGAAGGCAAAGTACTTTGGCTATGATGCCACTGAACAACAGAGATAAAAGACAAATTAAGCCTTTCCTTTGGGAAGTCACATAACAAGAGTGCTTGAATAATAGCAGAGACCCTTCCTCTTAAGAGTTCTGAAATTATAAGGGTTGCAATATGCTTCAGTAACTTCCTCAGGCCTCTTTTTCCATACCTCTTTTCAGGCACTGCATCTGTCAGCACAGTGCTGGCTGATTAAAAGGTGCTTTCTTCTAATTAAGAGAGAGCAATCTTTTCAGTTCTGCTGTGGTAGATCAGGAGGAACATGCCTGCAGCCAATGGACTGATCACGTAAAGGCCACCCTACCTTCAATTATTTTTTCTATTTAAATGAGTGAGGTTTGTTCACATTTCCTAACTCCTCACACACCAAGAAGGTAAGATAACATCTCTCTGCTTCAGAACAACCCCTGCTAGCAAACTGGGAGCCACATGAGCACCCATTCTGACCACCACCAGAACCTCTCAGGGCTTAGAGACACACACAGACCAACAATGCAGCCACTTGTCCACTCCCCGCTCTCCCTAATAGGATGGGAAGGAGAATTGGAAAAAGGTAAAACCCATGGACTAAGTATGATTTAATAATTGAAATAAAGTAAATTATTATGATTGCTGTTGTTATCGTTGTAATAATAACAAAAATAATAACAGGAAAAAGAGAAAGAGGAACAAAGCCCAAGAAACACAAGTGTTGCACAATACAATTGCTCACTCCCCCTGACCAATGCCCAGCCCATCCCCAAACAGTCACCAGCTGCTCCTGCCCAACTGCCCCCAGTTTAT